CCCCAGATCTATGTCTAAAATCCATATATGAGAGAGTACATGCCATGTTTCTCTTTTTGTGACTGCGTTACCTCACTCAGGATGGTTTCTTCTAGTGCCATCCATTTGCCTGCAAATCTCAGGATTCCATTGTTTTTTTTTCTGCTGAGTAATACTCCATTGTGTAAATGTACCACATTTTCTCTAATCACTCTTCGGCTGAGGGGCATCTAGGTTGCTTCCAAGTTCTGGCTATTACAAATAATGCTTCTATGAACATAATGGAACAGATATCTTTGTTGTATGCATGGGCATCTTTTGAATATATGCCTAAGAGTGGAGTTGCTGGGTCTTGTTGTAGATTTATTCCCATTTTTCTGAGGAATCTCCATACTGATTTCCAAAGTGGCTGAACCAGTTGGCACTCCCACCAGCAATGGAGGAGTGTTCCCCTTTTACCACATCCTCTCCAGCATAAATTCTCATTGGTGTTTTTGAATTTAGCCATTCTGACACCAGTGAGATAGTATCTCAGAGTTGTTTTGATTTGCATTTCCCAGATGGCTAAGGATGTTGAGCACTTTCTCAAGTGCCTCTCAGCCATTTTAGACTTCTCTATTGAAAATTCTCTATTTAGTTCTGCAGCCCACTTTTTAATTGGATCCTTTGGTGTTTTGGAGACTTGCTTCTTGAGTTCTTTGTAAATTTTGGAGATCAGCCCTCTGTCAGATGTGGGGTTAATGAATATTTTTTTCCCATTCTGTGGGCTGCCTTTTTGTCTTGCTGACTGTGTCCTTTGCCTTACAGAAGCTTCTCAGTTACAGTAGGTCCCATTTATTAATTGTTGATCTCACTGTCTGTGCTAATGGTGTTATGTTCAGGAAGCTGTCTCCTGTACCAACTTGTTCAAGGGTACCACCCACTTTCTCTTCTAAGAGTTTCAGTGTGGCTGGATTTATGTTGAGATCTTTGATCCATTTGGACTTAAGTTTTGTGCATGGCAATAAACATGGATCAATCCACATTCTTCTACATGCCAGCCTCCAGTTATTCCAGCACCATTTGTTGAAGATGCTTTCTTTCTATCTTTTTTCCATTGTATATTTTTAACTTCTTTGTCAAAGATCAGATGTTCATACATGTGTGGGTTAATATCAGGGTTTTCAATTCGATTCCATTGGTCTACCTGTCTATTTTTGTGCCAATACCAAGCTGTTTTCTTTCTTTAAAGATTCAAAGTTCTTGCGATACAGGTCTTTCACTTGTTTGGTTAGCGTTACCCCAAGGTATTTTATGTTGATTGTGGCAATTGTAAAGGGCGATGTTTTCTGATTTCTTTCTCTGCCCTGTTATCATCTGTATATATTAGGGCTACTGATTTTCTTTAGTTGATCTTGTAGCCTGCCACTTTGCTGAAGGTGTTAATCTTGGTATGGTTTCTAATCGGCTAGCTCTGACTCAATTATTTACCCATAATTACTAATATATATTTTTATAAGGTCTCATCTTACCGAGAACGCAGACTTGAGCCCTCTTCCCGGGAAGATCAACATGGCAGGACTCTCTTCACTACATTTCCCAGAATCCTCCTAGACTCCCAGTCCTACCCTATCTTGCTTCCCTATTGGCCAACAGTGCTTCATTTTTACCAATCAAATATTCATATTCACAGAAGGACTTCTCCGACCATCTCCTCTTTTCTGTCTAAATAAGAAGGGAGGTTTTAACTTTAACATAGTAAAATTATATATAACAGAACAGTAATCAAGTAAGAACTATCGTTACAATATTTTGTCCATTAGCATTTAGTAAGATCTATAGAAAGTATTTTATCATCTGTCGTATCTGTGTGAGTCTAGAACAGCAGCAGCAGCATCACTCCAGAGACCTCCAGGTGGTGACCTCTGACCCTCTCCAGCCCTCCTGACCCCAGCTTTGGCGTCTCATGCTTCCTTGCCTGGTCTAGCATTTACAGCTATTCTATCTCCCTGTCTCTGTCTCTCACTGTGGTATATGTATACAATATGATATATAATATAATATGATTTGAGAGTAAAAGCCAAAAGCTAAAATTTTAATAAGGAAGCCTCTATTGTCTTAGCTCTTATTTCTTGCTAGCTCTTATAACTTAAATTATCCTGTTTCTCTTCATCTTTGTTTTGCCTTGGGCCTTTTTGCCTTTCTTTCCTTCTGTATATTTTCCTTCCATTGTTCCTCTTATTTGTCTGTCTGGTGCCTCCCTGTCCTTCTCCCTCATTCCCTCCTTCTGTCTTGAGCCAAGATTTCTCCTCCTACTTATTCTCTCTGCTCAGCAGCCCTGCCTATTCCTCTCCTGCCTAGCTATCGGGGCACTCGGCTTTTTATTAGACCAATCAGGTGCCTTAGGCAGGCAAGGTGAAACAAATGCAACACATCCTTACATAATTAAACACATGCAGCACAAGCAAATGTAACGCACTTTCAAATGCAACACACCTTTGCCTAGTTAAAGTAATATTCTACAACAGGAATCCGTGTTTACCTAAAGGAAGATTGGTGAATTTAATGTTACTCGGTACATCCTGGCACTGTAGGAAGACAAAATTTGCTCATCTGTGTTTCTGACACAGCAAGCTCATTGCACTTAACATGCTTAAGTAAGGGCTCCCTCAAGACCCGCCCCCAGAACTGCATTCATGTGTTTATCCAAGTGGTAATAGACGTTCGTGTCAGGTGCCGAGCGAGATGTGGACACTTTTGAGGAGGGGTCTGCTCTTGGTCTAGGGAAGCTCAGAACTAATTTTGTGAAGAGAAAAGCTTGTTTCTAAACCATCTTGTCCTCCTGCTTCTCAAGGGGGGGGGAGGACAAGACAGTAAGGGCAAACCATTGCTTGGAAAGCTGGGGATAATCTAGACTGGGATACTGTCCCCTAATTTAGGGAGAAAAGGCAAGGTGTGCAGTACCCCATATTTGTCACAGGATGACTTCTCAGAGTCCTGTTTCCTTTGGGTAAAGTTGTTTCCTAATTGGCAGATGAGTTTTTCTTCCACACACCCGCTCCCGTCTCGCTTTCAGAGCCCTCTTTTAGATGGTATATTGCCTTTGGGGCCCATGAGCTTCGCTTTAGACTTGACCTCCAACTATAGTTGTATCTTCTTTTTATTTTAGGCCACAATAAAAGTGTCTAATACTTTAAATACTGTGTTGAGTCGCATTCTGCTGGGTGTGAAGCTGATGAGAGAAACTCCCATCGGCCTGAGAATGAAACTCACCCCTTTTAAAAGGTGTATTTGCATTTTAATAGCAACCCTTTAGCTCAAATTAATTTCTAATTGGCAGAATGTGTGAATTAGTTTTGGTGAGAAGAGGAGGAGAGGAGTTATTTCCTAATTTTCTGTGTTTAGGAGTTGCTGCTATGAGAGTGTTGTAATCTCACCTCTCAGTCAGCCCTCAGCACGATGCCATTTAGGTTCTCTCCCTGAAGTGATCACGCTGAAAGGCTTTTTAGGGCAAATTCTGTGAACATGTTCCAAGCATCTACTTCAGTCAATCTGTACACTCTGCGTGGTGGCCCGCAACTGTCTATAACTCCAGTTCCTGGGATCTGACACCCTCTCGTGGAGTTGGTGTTGCACATATATGTACGTAGGCAAACATGCTTACACATAAAATGCAAATAAGCAGATCTTTAAAAAGGTTAAGCTCTTGTGGACTACGCCAACCTAGGATGACAATAATCTTAGAAGGAAGTCACTAAGTAGTGATGAAGTTGTATAGAAACAGGAACTTTCTTACAGTTGAAGTGGGAATGGAATATGGTACAGATTGTAAATGGTTCCTAAAAATTTAAGCATGGAATTACCATTGGTGGCTGTAATTCCTCTCTTTGGGTGTGTACCTACAATAAATGAAAAGGCTCAGATGCTCGCACACAAATATTTGTAATTTGTGTTATTTACATAGACAAAAGATGAGAATATATTTTGAAATGTGCATCTAACACAATGGAAAATAATCCGGACATAGAAGAGAAGGAAGTACTGAATACTGCGTAACACAGAAGAGCCTTGGAAACATTATGCTAAGTGAACCGAGCCAGATACAGAAGGACAAAGATGGTTCACTTAGGAGGACTACCTATCTGTCTGGAGAACTCACAGAGACAGAAAGCTGTCAGGACATACTGAGCCTGGTGTCATGGAAGGGTGATAGAATACTTAACGAATAAAGAATTTCTCTTTGGAGAGGCATTTTTTTGACAATAGATAGTGGTGGTGGTTTCACAACGTTGTAAATATAATGCCAATGAAGTTCAAGGTAAATGGTGGAAATGCCAAATTATGTGCTCCATACCGTGTTTTTTAAACCACAAATTAAAAAGAATTCAAAACAAGACAAAACAAAATGAAAAACAAAAACCACACCTCCATCATGGCCAGTTGCTTATTTCCTTGGGACCAGTTTATTTTATTTAATTAAAATTTTAAGTGACATCTTAGTATATGCATGTGTATGTATGTGTGTCTGCGCGTGGGTGCCTGTGTGTGTGTGTGTGTGTGTGTGTGTGCGTGTGTGTAGGCCAGAAGACCACTTGCAGGAGTAGGTTCTCTTTTACCATGTGGGTCCCAGGACTCAAACTCAGACTTTCAGACTCAGCACCAAGTGGCTTTACCAACTGGGTCACTTTGCCAGCCTGTTTTTAATTTTTACAGATCTAATTAGAACAGACTAGAAGATATTTAACTATAGATATATAGAATAAAAAATCAATGGATATAACTCTAGTGGTATAACTGACAGAGTTCATGTTTATTTTAGGATCCAGAATTTATTTTTAAAATATAAATTTCATTATTTCTGTGTATGGGTGTGTGTCTGTGCATGTGGGTGCCCATAGAGGCCAGAAAAGGATGCTAGATCTTCAGGAGTTGGGGGTTATAGGCAGATGTGAGTGTTGGGAACTGGATTCCAGTTTAAGAGCAACAAGGATTCTTAACCACTGCCATCTTTCCAGCCCAAAGGATCCAGAACTTAAATTTCGTTATGCCCTTTCTATAGAAGAGTCATCACTGAATGTTGACTTAGAGCAAGAGTAGATTTCTTGAAAACCTTGAAATTCTCTCTGGTGAATAGATAGAGAATGGGAGAAAAGACGGTATTGAAGGTAACAGTTACCACTGTAAGTACCAGAGTCAACTGTAAAAGCAGTGACTGGTTCATGGTGAGGACCAAGCTGCTGTACTCATGGTAAGGCATCCAACACACAAAGAAAGAGAAGACAGGAGTCAGCACGACTTTGAAGGGCTTGCTAGATTTAAAGAGTCCCTTCTCTTTCATCTTGGTGGCCACTCTTTGGTAGCAAAAGACGATGACAAGGAAGGGCATGAGGAAGCCCAGCCGGAAGCGGCCAATGAAACAGGCTCCGTGAATCCATCGCCTTGATGTTTGCTTCTCTTTGTTCTCCCAGTTAGTAGACACAAGGTAGTTATCTTGGCACATCATTTTCCCTTTACGGTCATCATGTGTCTCCCTGAAAACCAAATAGGGGATGCTGAGGAGAATGGCAGAAACCCAGGTTCCCAGGACTATTTGGGAAGCCCAGCGTGGGCTTCGGTGCTGCTGGGACCACACCGGGTGAAGGGTGAGAAGATAACCATCAACACTGATGGCAGAGAGCCAGAAAGCAGAGGCAAACGTGCTCACAGACAAAGGGCTGCTGAAGACTTTGCTCAGGACAGTTCCAAAGGCCCAGTGACTGTCTTGAAGGTAGGAGGCAGCCATGAATGGCAGAATCAATGTTGAAATAAAATAGGAGAGAATGAGATGAAAAAAATAAGAGATTATCGACAATCCTTTGCATCTTGAATTTCAGCATCCTTAGATAGAGGCTATTGTTGATGGCACCAATTATAAATGACATGAACAAAGAAACAGCAATGACTATTTTGGGACCAGGAGTTGGAATATCAGTGCTGTTTTTTTACTAAAGTGGGGCCATTGATCACATAACAAGAGGCGCTGAGCCAATCCATAATTACCTATAGAGGGAGGAACAAAGCAAAAATGAATAACAGCAACAAGGATTAAATGAAGAAAGTAAAGTAGTAACTTTGGTATAACAGTAATCCAAAGGGTAATATTTGAATTAGTCCAAAGGGTAATATTTGAGTAGTGGCGAGCATAGTATTTCAATAATAACACTTATAAATTATTTTCTAATGCCTATTCTATTTTTAAATCAGGAATTAAGATCACTATTATTTTAAAAATAGAAATAATTCAGATGACATGCACTAAATAAACATAGAGAACATTCCTTCCAGAAACAATTGTATTTTTCTAAGCATAACATGCTATGATTAGATTCACCTCATAACCTAGTTATATTATCCAGTATTTTAATAGCTAGTATGTAACAGTAAGGGCTGACCTTCATAGAGGACTCTAGGGTCACCACTAGATTATCAAATGCCTTCTGGATTATAGATAAAAGAAGAATGTGTTCTAGGCTACAGGAAGTAATTTCTTTCTTAGGGAAGGGAGGAAAGGGAAAGAAGAAAAATAATTCACATTTATCCAGTATTGTGAAAGCCGGAATCTTCCTATAAAAATAATTGCTTTGATTTTCCACAAAGCCTATGAGGCAACTCTTTGTTATTGTTTCTGTTCTTTGCTGTAGCTTTGGGCGATGAAACATGGTCTACCAAACTCAACAAATCCACGTGGAGTTTATTGGGAAAGGGAGCAAAGGGAGGAGTAGGTGTTAACCAATTAGGAGTAGAAATGGAAAGAAAAGAAGAGAGAACAGGCAGGAGGCTCTTGCTTATACAGGGAACAGGAACGGTTGAGAACGAGTCTCAGCAGTTGGGGCTGTGGAAACTGGAGTCATGGAGCTGCCATTGGCCCAGCTCCGCGCACCCCCAGATTCACACGGTTTCTGCATGCATGGTCCTCATGCAGCCACCTAACGCATGCCCAATGCAGCCATGCAGCCTTTGACAGCCTTTGATAGCCTTCGTTGACAGCCTTTGATAGCCTTTGACAGCCTTTGACAGCCCTCAGTGAGAAGCGGTCCCCTGTCAAAGATGGATCCCGGTGTGAGGGGAGCCAGCCTGGAAAAGAGCGATCCTGGGGAGAGAGCCTGAGGATTAGAGAGGTCCCGAGACCAGGAAAGGCGGGTGCTGAGAAGAAACCATGGGGCCGGAGAAGGAGAGGAGTAGGGCGCAGGAACAGGGTCAGGTTGTCCAGGACCCGGGGAGAGGGAGACGCCAGGATATCAACGGCTGTTGTTACTTTCTTCTGTTTTGTTGAGATGGGGTCTTGTAGAGCCCAGTCTGGCCTAGAGCATGCCATGTAGCCAAGGCTGACCTTGAGCATCTGATCCTCCTGATACCACATCTATTATGTTGGGATTACAGACAGACACGGGCAAACCTCCAAGCAAGGAGAAACTAGGGCTTAAAATGGTTAAATGTCCACTGTCCGTCACATCTTCCACCACGCCTCCACGATGGCAAGCGGGAAACCCTACTGCTCTTTATACTCTTTCTCTGAAAACTGGTAATTCATAGGAACTATCTTCGGTAATGTTTCCTGAATCAGTGTATTTAAATATCAAAGTATTCAAGAACATTCAGTTTCTTGAATAATGGTTCCTGTAGTGTCAGAAATGTAAATCTGAGAATGATTTAGGAAATAGCTGTTAATACAAAGTCATATCAACAAATTGGTTTTTGACAAGTAGGATAGAGGGATGGAAATTATTAATGATGTATTCTTTACCACCAAATAAAAACATTCTAAGAAAGTAATGAGAAAGAAAATAATTGCTATTTAAAAATGCAATTGGCCTCTGATGGTGGCTCAGTCAGTAAAGTGCTTGCCTTGTAAGCCTGATGACCTGTGTTCAATCCCCAGAACCCACATACAAATATGAGGTGCTGGGCATTGATGGTGCATGACTTTAATTCCAGTACTTGGGCAGCAGAGGCAGGAGGATGTCTGTTAGTTCAAGGCCAGTCTGGTCAACTCAGATTCTATTAGCAGTTAACCGTGAAGTCAAGGCAAAAATAATGTGTGCTAGAAATTCCGATGTCCTGCGTGTAGGAATGACAGTGACTGCATGATACATCACAGAGGGGACTGCTCAACCCTACATAGAAATCCCCACTCTGCCTCTGCCTGTGCCTCTGTTATAGATCTATCTGCTTCTCTCTGTACATCACCGGGATCTTGGTTTCTTCATTTGCTAACGTAGAACAACAGTCATGCATACTTGAGTTCATCCTTGTGGGGATGTAATGAAATCCTCTCTAAAGGGCTCAGCACAATGGCTGGCATAAGGCAAGTATTAAACGATTGATGGCTGATATTGACACTATGAGAGTTGTAGTAGAAAGAACACCTGCAGGTCCAGTGGGCCGGAGCAAATGTATCTAATGCTGTAATTCAAGAACTATTTATGAGTACCGTAGCCTGTCAGACAGCATGCAAACGGAGGCAAACAAAATAAACAGTTCAAAGCAGCTGCCCTTAATGTTTGCCGTCATTAAAGATGGTATATGAACTGAATAGCTGAGGGATGTTGGATAGAGATGCTCTAGGCCTTAGAAAGAACGTGGTTACAGGCTCTTCAGCCCTACCATTAGCTCCTTCATTTCTCAATTTTTTCATGTCTGTGGGTGTTTTGCCTACTTGTATGTCTGTACACCACACACGTGCCTGGTGCCCTCAGAGGCCAGAAAAGGGTGTGAAAGTCCCTGGAACCTGTGTTACAGATGGTCATGAGCCCCCATGTAGGTGTCGAGCACTGAACCACCATCCTCTGCAGAGAAGTCAGGGCTCTTAACTATGGGGCCCCTGCCTTTTCATTTCTATATAGTTCATGCTGTGGTTGTAGCAAACAATACAAATCAGGCTGCTAGGAGTTCTTGACTTGAAAGTGGCTTAATTAAAAGTGAAAGTTAACTGGATGGAGTCACATCCCCAGTGAAGCCACAGAGGGGAAGCTATTTCTTCAAGTGGGCAGTGTGCCTCCTCACTATGTTTGGGTTGTCTGGACTCATATGGGAGGAAGATGCCACTGAGAGTATTCCCAAGAAGAGTCTGGAAGATGTCAGCTTTAGGTTTTCTAGTGATGGGAAGGAAAATTAAGCATCATCCAATTTTTATTATTGTTTGTGAATTTTGTTAATTATGCAATTGTCAAAGAAGCTTCTGTGAGGCAGAAGCAGGTGGATCTTCGAATTCAAGGACCGTCTGATCAGAAGAGAGAGTTCAGACAACCAAGGTTACACAGAGAATACCTCTTGATGGGAGGAGGTGGTAATCAGTAGGGAAAAGGAACATTTAATTTCTTTAGTAAAGCATTTTTGTATGGTGATTGAGAAGGCTGGATAGTTCCAGAATGAGAAAGCTTGTGCCAGTTATAAAGGTTTGAGTGAGTTAGTAAAGAGATATAAAGAATGAGATTTAGAGATGATGAATATGGTATTATAGGTTTTTAAAATTTACTTATTTTTATTTATTAATTTATTTTTTACATTCCAATTCCAGTTCCGCCTCCCCTCCCCCTTCTCCCCCCCACTTCTATCTGCTCCTCTGAGGGTAAGGCTTCCTCTAGGAAGACTACTAATTCTGTCCCATCGTCACATTCAGGCAGGATCATGGAACATGGGCCCCCAACGCCCCGTGTCTAGGCTGGGGCAAGGTGTCTTTCCATAAAGAATGGGCTCCACTAAGTCACATTGTGTATTAAAGTTAGATCTTGGACCCACTGCCAGTGGCCTTATATATTGTCCCAGTGACACACATAAGTCTAGTTCAATCTTATGCAGGATCACCTTTTGCCTCAACTGGTATGAACCGGTCTGAACCAGATTGAACCAGCCTTGCCCAGATTGAACTGGATTGAAGCGGTCAGAACCAGATTGAACCAGTCTGAACGGGGGTACCTGAATTCAGTACCAGGAACCCACATGAGAAGCTGACATGGTGACACACATTTGTGACCCAGGAAGTCTTGGACCAACTAGCCTGGAGCCACTGTCTCTTGGAATGTCAGGTGCCCTTCATTGTCTTAAAGAAGCCTTAAAAATTCACTTGACTCACTGGGCTTTTTTTTTTTTGTAGTGGCATATACATCTAAACATGTATGTCTATTTCAAGCAAGATGGAAGGAACCGCTACACTACACATTCTGTTTGGTGAACATTGCAATTAACAATGTTATAAGTTAGATGTGGTAGCACATCTGTGTAAGTCCCATATTGGGAGGCAGAGAGATGAGGGTCAGGAGTTCAAGGCTACCCTGAGCTAAATAGTCCGTGTCTCAAAAAAAAAAACCAAAAGAGAAAAGTCATAAATATTTTTCATTTTAATAAGTAATGGGTTAATAAATATACAGCTATAGCATCATTTTAATAGCTGTCTTTTTGCCTGTCACATGCTATTTTGAAGATTGATTGAGAAAAAACATGTGGCATACGGTAATTAAAATTGCTGAGTATAAAGCACTGCAGTTCAGGTTTCAGGCTTCACATAAGATGCTAGTTGGCCTTCCCACACCGCTCATTGTTAGCCAGCCACAATGGTGCGGCAGTTTCCAGCTTCTTCTAAGGAAGAACCCCTTAGAGCACGGAGTAATACAGCAGGACCAGAAATCCCGTGTCTCTGACATCACCACAGTCACCAAAAAGCCGGCAGAGATGATGGCGGAAACAGACGCTCAGTCATGGCAGGAAGCAGAATATTGAAACCCATTAGTGAAATACAAGGCATACTGTCTAGAGCCAAGACTGGAGACTGAAGACAATTCCAAAGGAAAGAAAAGCTGAAGAGACGGTGGAGGGGGCACAGAGGTTCTTGTGCTCCCAGATAAGCAACAGGGAAACCAGGAATGTTAAACACCCAGAGGGATTTCTCTTCAAAGGGAGAGGTGTATACCTGTTTCCCACCCAGGAGGCGGGGAGTGGAGGGGCTTATTAACCTGGTGGCTTCTGTGCTAACGGTATGGCCAGTTAGCAAGGCTGGC